AGGTGCCGAGAGAGACATAGAACTTGAAGATCCTCAGCCCTTTCCTGCGACTGTCCAGCACTTCTCTTTGAATTCTGTCCACTTTGCTTCAGTGGACGCAGTGCAGCTGCTTGGTGGAGAGGGGGCGCTGTGTGCGTCTGGGGGCAGAGACAGGAACGTCAATCTGTGGGACCTGCGCCGGCTTGGCGAGGGGGACACGGGGGCTGCGCTGCTCTGCACCCTGGGGCAGCAGCGCAGTGGCACCCACAGGGGCTGGGTGTGGTGCCTGTCCACCCGGGGCACCCAGCTGTGCTCAGGCTCCTTCGACAGCACGGTGCGACTGTGGGACCTGGGTGCCTCAGGGGCCGCGATGGGCGAGATTCGGGGCCGCGCTGCCGTGCTCTGCCTGTCCTGCCAGCCTGACGTCCTGGTGGCTGGTTCCTACGACAAGAAGGTCACCATCTATGACCCCCGTGGTCAGTTGAAACAGTCTGGTTTATTATTTTCTCTCTCAGCCTGTCTCCGTCAGTCAGCCTGTTGTTTTTCTTGTTGATTTTCGGTTTGTTTGTCACAGCGGCAAACCCCCAGGTGAAGAGTCTGCGTCTCCATGGTAATGCTGTGCTCTGCCTCGCTGCTGATGACCAGTACATCCTGTCCGGCAGCGAGGACCGGACTCTGGCTGTGTTTGACCGCCGAGCTGGGAGACTCCTGCAGAAAATACAGGTGAGCTGGGACCCTGACACACTGGCGCACTAGTGTACTGGTGTACCGGTGTTCTAGGACCCTGATTCACTGACTCACTGACACACTGGTGCATTGGGACCCTGACTCACTGAAACACTGGTGCACTGGGACCTTGACACACTAACTCACTGACACACTGGTGCATTGGAACCCTGATTTACTGACTCGCTGACACACTGGTGCACTGGGGCCCTGACGCCCTGATACACTGACTCACTGACACACTGATGCATTGGAACCCTGACTCACTGGTGCACTGGGATGCTGACATACTGACAGAATGGTGCCCCAGGACACTGACCCTCTGACACACTTTCATGCTGCCATGTTGATGTGCTGATGCCGTCAGTGCTGTAGAAACATCATGTCTCCCTCTCTCTACCCAGCTGAACTCGTACCTGCTGTCTCTGTGCTACGGGGGCCGGGAGATATGGGGGGGGGACAATCAGGGGCTCCTCCACACCTTCACCTTGCAGGGTGGCTCCTTCCTGCACGTCTCCCAGTTTGACGTGGGGCATCGCTCTCTGGTCACAGGGGTGCACAACTCTCCAGGCGCCCTATACACTTGCTCCTCTGACAACACTATCAAGGTACCTCGTCTCTCGCCGTTTCCCATGTGCAGCTTGCTCTGGGACAGCCCCTCACTCCTCTCTCTGCTGTCTAGGTCCACATACCCTGTGCTCCCCCCCGGACGCTCTGCACACTGCGGCACAGGGATGTCTTCAATGGGGTAAGAGTCGCCTCCCCTCCCTGTGCTTCCACTTCATAGATAAGAAAGCATTATTGACATAGCTAATATCACATTTCCTACCAAGCCTTTCAACACGAAGACCTAGAATACAAATAGGATAATGTGTTTACTGCCAAGCAGCTCGTTTTAGTGCAGTTAGAGGT